TAACGGAACTGGGTCAACGGTTCACTAACCACAAAACTGAATTACCTTCATTTTTGTTTACGATGAGATACGACCATCCCTAAAGTGGTACAAATTGTCGACTGCTCGAATCGATTATACAATCTCGAAACGACACAAATCTTTATTATTAAATAGAGTTTTTTTTTTTAATATATACATAATATTTAATATTTCAATTCTCGTGACAATTACTTTCCGTTTTGTAAAGTTTTCGAAAAATAGTATATTTCAGAATATCTTTATCAAAAAAAAAAAAAGAGGCAAGATAAAAATTTGCCATTTTTATCAGTATTTTATCGTACCTTTTTATTAGGATGTTTAACTTTGTCAGCCTTAATCGTGCTTATAAAATGACATTTTATCGCGATCCCTGCGAAATTATGAAGAACAAAAGTGGAATGGAATCTAGCTGGAATTGAACGAGCTGGAAAACGGAACCGCGCCTATATCGATTGACGTTCTGAAAACCGTTCGTGCGGTCGTGCATGGGAGGAGTTCGAAGGCGAGCGTGGGGACGATTCGTGCGCGCATTGAAATTCCCTCCGATCTCGCGGGACCGAGTAGCCGATTTTTATCGAGTACACGGCTGGTTACCGGGCAGAACTCATAAACCGCATTCGATATCGGAGAAACGGTCAAACGCGCGCGGAATAAAAAATCCTTGACCGCGCCGGGCGTATTCGCGATATCTCGATTGGACGAGAGAGAAACTGTTCGGAAACGTCAATGAGCGAAATGAAGTGACGGGAATGCCGTCGGTAAGCGTACGAAAAAAAAAAAAAAATGAACGAACGGTTCGCATATAATTATGCTGAATGGTCGATCGAATGTGTCAGAGGTGAAAATTCCTGTTGCACATCGCGGTAACGTGACAACCGTGATAGGTCAGAGCTCTCATGCATAATGCTGAAATTTGCGCGTGTCTAGAGTAATGTGTCACACTTTGTTGTGCAAATAACGGAGAGCGGATAATTTATCATCCACATCCCGCGAATATGTCCAGCTTGATTTATTGATCGATGGTACGTCGAATGCATTTTACCAAATCAAATTTTTAAAACAGCACCTCTGCACATTCTTATTTCGTCTGTCCGTCCGCGGAGAGCGCCGGGGTCAACGTCCCAGGGATTTCGATCGTTTCACCAAAGCGATCGCTAAATTCAGCAAAAGTATCCGATTTCTACGGTATTGTCCTACGTGACCGAAGAACTGATGCGTTCGATTGAATCCGCGGGCTCATTTCACGCGCTGTAGGAGCGAGTCGATGTACTCGGTATTTTTATACGCGTTGCTTGTAACGCGCTATTCTCTTATAATCCGAGACCGTCGGCCGTCAGAGTTTGTCTCTCGGTCGCCTTTTTTTCTCCATAATAACGCTCTATATCGGGACGATTATCGGCTCACTACACCCGATCGATCGATCGCTTTGAGTGTCACATGAAGCGTCGTCATTCAAAGTCCAGTGATGGCTACGGTCCGACACGCGCTTCGTTCTTTTGAAACTTATTGTAGCATGTGCTCGTGACAAATACATGTTCACTTCTCTTGTTTTTACCGTTTCATGAATATCCGTGCGATTCGAGCACTCGGTCAAGCGTGGAACCTAAAATAGGCCTGACGAAAGCACGCACGACATTTCACGGATCATTTAACGATACTAATGCTATTTTGATATTTTAAACGATATTTACATATTTACTTGATTTGTATGTTTATGCACTTAATGATAAAATTATGAGCTCTTAATTCAATTTTACGAATTATTTGATTATTTGATTTCACAAATTATTATCAGTAGTTTTCAAAATATAATTTATATATAAAAACGGTGAGCATATCAACCAAAAAATAAATACTTTTTTTGTCAAATAACAGCAGCACAGTTCCACACAGAACGAATAATCGAACTGTTCAGTTCAAGCAGCAGAATAGAACTGATTTTTACCCTACCAATACTTGTTTTGCTTAATTCTACCAGTTGGGCAAGTCCAAAAATCTTGGGAATTCCAATTTGGGAATTCTAAGATACGAGAATAAAGGTTTATTTGGGTTCATGCATTGTTAACGCAACAATGACCGTATTATACCTGCACGTAAGGATTAACACTTGCCGCTTCGACCAGCAGCTACCTATTGCAGGCTGTAACCGTCAATTTTACAAATTTTTTAATGAAAATTTCAGGAAATGTAGTTTAAAGATTATATCATCGAATAAAAATATTTTTAAAAAATCGATTTTTTTGACCCACCTAAGTGTAGCCCCTTAAATAAAAACAGCATTTATCAAAATAAAAATGAAAGAAATATTAAATTGGAAATAGACAAAGTTTTTATGTATTGAAAAAAATAATACGCTCAAATCAAAACAGGTAAAACTCGAGGCAAAGCGGTTGAAATGTAGGTAACAGTACCAATGCATTAAGAAAATAGCGAGTGTCGTGCAAACAAGTTGTGTGACATAGCAGTGCTGGCTGAGCTGATCACAAAATAATCATCTGCATGTTTAAAGACGCCCTGGCGTTTATGTGAACGGACAAACTTCGGATTCTCTTTCCGGTTGTTGCCCTCCCTAGATCGCGTGTCTACGGTCGTTTCCTATTTACACTCCATTACCACGTTTTATTTTCGTCGTCTTGTCTAACAAGCGCGCGAGCATCACTATAGGCATAAAAGTTGATCTTACTAATTAAAGCTTAATAATGAATACTTTGATGTACTTTTCTGTAGAGTTTCTATTTTTTTTTTTTTTTAATGCAATTTGTTTTTACAAAAAGATTTCTTTCGCAACTTTTTATCTTTTAATATTGAATGACTTATTTGTTGCTGATTAAATTTCATAAAAATAATATTAATACAAAGATCATTCGAAAACGATTTTTATACTATTTATCTGCAAAATTTTGCAAACAGCGCAATGTGCATTTAAACTTAACGATTAATCATACATGTGATGTTAAGTGACAAGAGGATAAGATCGTGAGAAAAGCGTTCCTTTTGATGTTCAGCATTACGGTAGCGATGCGAATATCTAAGTCTGTGGTTCTGGCAAATTACCGCGAATCGGTATACAACATCGCACTTAGTTGCGAAAATTGCAACATTATTACGGTCGATATGCAGAGTTAACTGTTCATCGGAAACTTCGTGTTTCCGCTGAAAAGCGATTTAATATATCACGCCCGTTGATCGCGATAGGCGAACTATCGGACGTACGTCGACCGTGACGGATTCGCGTCCGTTCTTTTTTTTTTTTTTCGCAAAGAACAAGATTGCTTCGTGCTGACGAGAATGTGCGGCGCACCGTCTGGAAAATAGCAACAATCGATCGCGAATGTAACAGCAACAGCACGTTGCACGTTGCACGTGTTCGAAGGAGGCGCCTCGTCATGCAGAATTTCAAGATCGTCGTCGCCGCCGTGGTTGTCGTCGTCGTCTTTGTCGCCGTATGGTTTCCATGAGATTGAGAGAAGAATTCGATCCGCCACAGGAATGTCCCGTTTATTCACATGCATCTCTCTCCGTCATCGTCGCGAAGAACGCAGTTCTGTTCCGACGGATGTACAAAGCGGACTCCATAGATTCCTCTATTTTACATTTTTCGTCTCTCTTACTGTGCCGTTCTCGCGCGTCGAGCACGCGGTCCATTATTCCAATCTTCGGTATTTCTATGGCTCATTATGTAGGACCGCGCGACCTCCTTTAAATTCTCCCGGAATAGCCGTTTAGAAATCGATATACTTTCGGCTATTAATTCCGCGCAAAAGCGTCGCGAAGAATTTGCCTGTTCCGAAAAAATATTTTTGCGAAATATTTTGCATTTCGCTAGAAAAATTCGAATTAATCTTGGGCAAAGAGAAGCGAAAGGAATTTTGCACAATACTCGATACAATTTTGTACAGATCTATTTTAATTGACGAAATTTCGTAGCACAGTGCTGCGAACACCGCATAATTTTTTTTCCGGATATCGCGGATATATTCAAGATCCTGCGTGTCCTCCGGATTGGAACGGAGGCCTCCTTGGTATTCACGCATCGGCGGTGTTTGGCTCGGTATTCAGACACTGTCTCTTAATTGTACGAGGTGTTCGTGCACGTCGGACTATCCTTCGCGATTGCAAGTCGACATGCATACCTATTATAGGCGGACTTGAATTATTTAGGCACCGACCGGTCCTCTGGAATTAGCTCTCGGTCCATTTTCATGCGCGAAACGTGAGAAAAGAATTATTCCTATAATCGTTCTCCCTGCTTTAATTTTTCTCTCGCCAATGAATCGATACACGCGAACAAATTTGCATTAAACCGGCCAATCGTCCTTTACCGATTACATATTAATGAAATTGCCGTGCTCTCGTTAACGAAATGACTTAACCAAAGACTGATTACTGATTTAACTTTACGTTTATAACAAAAGTGACAAAAATATTTTTGAAACAATTGAAAGACATATTCTAGATTGTTGAATCTCATTGATCTTAAGGACGAATAATCTTTTCTAATTCTCGTAAAGAACTCTACGTGCCTCGTCGAGCAAACGAGTCACACGTAATAAACAGAATCTTATCACTAGCAACACAGAGAGGTAAAGAGATTCTCCGTGCAGAAAGTTACTTCACTCTTTTACCCTTCTAAAGCAACGAATGGAATGTCCGAAATTTCTGCGCAAATTTCTACATCTTTTTCACGGTGCACACTTCAGGGTCGGGACATTCCTTTGGCGGTGCACATCATCACAGTCCGTAAAATCCACGACGACAATGACAACGACGACGACGACGACGACGACGACGACGACGACGACGACGACGACGACGACGACGACGACGACGACGACGACGAATAAAAGCGCATCACAGTCGCGTACAACCGAATCACTGATCTTGATCACTTGCTCGAGCAGCCCCGGCTTCGTCACTTGTTCACCCTCAGCGACCGGCCGCGAAGAGACCGGCACTAAATATTCTTCACGATCACTTACCTATCCAGCACGGTCGTCGACGACGGACGACCTTGACGGCTCGATGCGGCGGCGTGGTCCCCTCTCGATGCACGATCGACGATTTAGTTAAATTCGCACCGTGTCGGACGCGAGTCAGCCGCAGATTAACGTTTATTAATGTGCCCGCTCGGGAGCCGCGATGCGACGATCGTCTTTCAAAGGG